AAAGAAATAACAGGAAATGCCAAATATCTCGTCAACTCAGGAATTAGTTCATCAAGCTCTTCTGGTGCTGAGCAGCCAGTGCTATTCTTTTTTTTTAACAGCCTGATATTAAAGCACTCAATTAAAAAGTGGGAATTCTGGGATTCTTGGCCTTTTCAGTATACTAAACTGCAGATCCTGACTCCATGAGTCCAGATGAGTGGTTCTCACCATGCTTTGAAGGTGAATTACAGTGTAGTTCACCTTTGTTGGGCCACAGAGAACAGAGTGAAACAGGGACTCCAGGAATTCCTCATCACCAGTTATTTTCACAGTCTTGGTGCTTCCCCATATACACAAGAGAGCATGTGGACAGTGTCTCTTTCAGTGTCCAAAATCAGTACGCATCTGAAAACCAAACCAAACCAAACCAAACCAAAAAAAAATCAAAAACAAAAGGACCATGTTCCCATCACCTAGCTCTACCTAAAATTCACTGGGTCTTGTGTCCCATTGTCTGGCTGTGAGTTTTCTGAAGCAGGTACTTAATGGAAATTTTGGGCTAATTGGAATTTAAGGTGCCTGAAAATAGCTCAAAGGCAGCACTTTAATAGTCATAAAGAAAATAACTCCAAGCAAAGGTTTTGGGTTTTTTTACTTCTTTTTTATTCAATTAAAATCAAGGAATTTGATGACTCAGATACGAGGTGTTAACATGTAGTTGTTTGTAAAATTAAGATAGCCATAAATCTGTCCTAGTAGTAGCAACGCTGCATGGAGGGTAGTCAATGGCTCTTCACATGATACATGGCTAGCTTAACTGTGTGAGGAATGTGTATATGCTATAAAATGTCACCTGTGTAAGGGACCAAACGAGCCCTATTCATACTTCACAATTGTCAGTGTGAAGAATTGTATTATCATTTTAGATTTGACATGTATAACTGCATTCTTAAGGTAGTTTGCATTTAACCTAAATTACTTTCCCCCTAACTATCTGACGAGAATGAAATTCAGCTGCCCTAGATAAGAGTAATGGTATTTATTAATAGAATTATAATAGAACTTAAATGTGCAGAGTACATCAGGACAGGAGATCACAGTCCTTAAGGGATTGATTTATCCTTGACTTCTATGAGCCTTTGTTATGGTAATGATAGATATATATTCCCAAAATCCATTTCGTTTGTCTATGCCTTACCCTTTGATTTCTTTATTAACTCTCCTCCCTTGTCAATACAATGTTTTTGTTAATTCAGATCAGGTTTTGCAGCTTGCGTCATACTTTACTATTTTTTTACCAAAACGGTTTATTGAGTTATCTTGCAGCTTATAGGCTTTCCCCTGTCTGCTGCACCTCCTGCCACTGCTGCCAGAAGGGCCTGTGGGTGAGCTGCCACCAGTCAGACTCTGACCAACCTACTTAATCACTCCTAACCTTCGCTAATAAACATAATTTTGGTAATTTAGGACAAACGTATTGAGGTACTCTAGAATACTAAAAGTTTTATCTAAATACATAATTTGGGATTTTAGACATTTACATAAATATTAAAATTTATGGTGACACTGGGTGCTACCGACTTTGCTGAAATTGTAAATCCTTGGTATTTCTAAAGTCAAGATGTGTGTTTGGGTGAACAGACATGGGCATGGGTGGTTAGCTCACAGTGTTTGTAAATACTGACCACCATGATTCGAGTCAATGGCACCCTTCACATCATCAGTAAATGGAAAAGCTGTTTAAAGGTAATAATGTTTTTAAGGATATAAACAAGAATAAAACATCAACTGTAAGAATAGCTATAAGACTATTAGAGAGCTATAAGAAAAGCTATAAAGTACAGAACATTTCTCATGAGCTTATTTTAATATAAGAAGTAGAGTGGTTTTTTTTCTGAAACACAATATGCTACTGCAGTGTGTAGCTACTTATGCTTTCTTCAGTATAGGTATATCTTGCAACACATGTGCCCTTTCTTGGGAATAGATCTATATGAAACATCAGTAACATAATTTTGCTGCTGTGCTAGGCTCTGAACTCAGCTACAGTTAAAAAGATACTCTGTAGCTATACTCATAGCAGTTATGAAAGATTAATTCAGTGTTATGTTTCTGTTTAATGAAAGAGTTGAAATTAGCGTTTCTGCTAATTTCAGGTTTAAGGTTTAGAAATTATGATCCTAATTATTCTTTTTAAGGGGAGCATAAGATAAATTATTTATATAGAATTATTTTTTTTAATTGAAGTCTTTTTCTTTTAAGATATCTGTCCCAGCATCTTCCGTGTACTTTGTTGTCTTTATCTTGCCATTTCAAAATACATTGTATGTATTTCTTCATTGGACATGCAGTAGAATAACCTGTACTCTAAATAACCTATTATACCATTGCATAACAGCATGGTGAAGATTTCCAGATCTTGTTGTGTATTATAAATTTAATTTGGATTTTCTGTTTTGTCAATATTATGATTTTAAATTATATTTTTATCTGAGGAAGGAATAGCAGCTTTGAGACAATTTCTGGTAGAATCCATTTATACAGCAATATTCCAAAGGAGAGGTTAACACAGCAACACAGAAACTCCAGTTTCTGTCCCTTGCAGGTCCTTTCTCTTTTTTTTTTTCTGCCTACTTCTTACTCAATCAAAATGTACTTGCATTATTAATGAAGTTCAGTCCCAGCAATGGTGTGGAATCTGAAGGGTAGACTTGAACAGCAAGTTTGAAGTCCTAATCCTTGGAAACCCAATGTGAATAACAGATGATATTAAACAGGGCGCAGTAGATAGTACCTGGTCCAACAATTCTGCAAATGTGATTTCATTGATTCTATCTGTGTTTTTCCCTCTGTGTTTTACAGAGCACACTGACTTAGGAAGATGTCTTTGCTTATTGCCATTAACATTAGAATGATAGAAAAATGTGCAAAAAGATTTGGAGATGGTGTGAACTGAAAGCCATTATGTACTTTATTAGCAAATTAGGGATTTAGTTTTAATTATGGTTGTGCTGCAATTGTCACACACTATATTGTATAAATGAGGCTCTTTTCTGAATTTCATTAATAGTTTTTACTCCAGTTACACTCTCTAGAAGGCCACAGTTCCATCTCCCTGTTGGCTTGGTTTTTAACTTGGCTAAAAGAGGTGTCATTTGTAATGTGCCCTGGATGGTCACTCACCCAAGAAGTAGCATTTTCAGACCCTTGCATGACAGCCAATGGCACTTGCCTGTGGAAGGATGGAAGGACTGGAGGGCTGAAATTCATTCTGTTTTGAAGCAGTAATTAGCTGTCACGTGGTTATGCTGCCAGCAAGGTGGCTACTGCAGTGGACTCTTAGTACTGTGATCAGCCTGCAAAGAGCTGAATACAAATGAAGGAAGCTAAAGAAAAAGGAACTTCTGACTGAGACAAAGGTTGTAAAATAAGTAAAAATTGCTCATTATGTATTATAGTGGATGAAACACTCCATAGACAGAGAGGAACAGGTTCTCGTTCAGAAACCCTGGTCCTTATGGGGGACTTCAACCTCCCTGATATCTGTTGGAGGGACAACAGGCAGGGCACATGGGTTCCTGGAATGCATTTAGGATAGCTTCCTTTTCCAAATGCTAGAGGGGCCATTAGGACCTTGTCCTCAACGACAAGGGGGGGCTGTGGGGAATGTGAAGCTCCAGGACAGCCTTGGCTGCAGTGACTATGAAATAGTAGAGTTCAAGATCTTGCTCCTTAGGGCAGCAAGGAGGATGCACAGCAAGCTTTACCCTGGAATTGAGAAGAGCAGACTTTGGCCTCTTCAGGGAGATGCTTGGTGGGACAGAGGCCTGGAGGAACAGGGGCCCAAGAGAGCTGATTAGTTTCAGGGATCTCCTCTTCCAAACATGCATTCCAACGAAGAAGAAGTCAACAAGGTGTCTGTAGGAGCAGCTAAACAAGACAACACCAGCCATCTGGATGATAGAAGAAGAAGAAAATATTAAAGCAAAACTATTATGGTCCTGAGAGAGCCAGAGCTAAGATTAGTATGTATGGGAAAAGAATCACAAGGTCAAACTGGAAAGCCACTTGAAGCATGATTGTTCTTTGTGGCTGAAGGCAGCCACAAGAGTGGCTGTATGATATGTGTGCAGATAAGTAACATCTTCCTGGCTGGATAGCTCAGATCCAGGGTCGTAGAGAGTCTGTATATAGCTATGGAGTAATAAAGTTACAAGAGAATCTTCCTGGACAAAACTCTGTCCCGTTTGAATTCATTCATCAAAAGTGGTGCTGAGTGAGGGATTTTTTCCGCAGGTGTCTGTGTCAGAGAGGTTGGAATTAGATCTTTAAGGTCCCTTCCAACCCAAACCATTCTGTGAGTCTGTGATTCTATTTTGTATCAGTAAGAAAAGGAAGTTCATCTGATATTTACTGAGCTATCAGTTACAGTGCTAGAGTTGATACCCTGCTGACTTAGAATGGACCTATTTTATTTCCTTTAATACTTGAGTCCTAAAGTGAGAGTTCCTTTCAGAATATACAAAATAACTGAAGGCTACATTCAGTGATGCTAATTGGTATTGTATTAAATCATCCAGTTGTGCTAAGGTGTAATATAAGGTGGAATTTATGTTTTAAGTCCATAAAGATAGCCAAGAAAGTTTACCAAAAATATGAAATATTTATAAAATAAATTTTTTTTATCTAATTACAAGTTTTTTGAGAATAGTACCTTTTGTATGTGAAAGTCCATTTAAATTTTGCATATAGATATATTTCTTTATGTTTACGTGTTCTATGCCTTGTGTGTTTTATTTTGCACGTTCATGCTTTTTATGATCACCTTCACTAACCATATACATTTTTCTGCGCACATATTTTAGGTAGTTGTCCACTCCCACTGTACAGTTTTTCAGCATACCAATGATAATGCAGAACAAGTCACCCAAGTACCATCCATGGAATTTCTGGTTTGAGTGGTTTGACAGCTCAGGTAAAATACAAAGTTTCAGCAAGTTTCACCTTTTGCATTTCAGGATTATAATGATGAAATTCGCCAGGAGCAGCTGAGAGAACTGTCATATTTGAATGGTTCTGAGGACTCATCACGTGGACGGGGCATTCGAGGAAGAGGGATCCGTGTGCCACCTGCAGCTCCTTCAAGGTGTGGTAACTTGAGCTATTATGCTAATAGCTTTAGAAAGTGTAAGCAATAGTAAAAAAAACATAGTTTAAAAAAAAAAAAGAAAATCACATACACATGCTGGTCAGTAAACCAAAATATTTGTCTTTTGATAACTTGTGTCATCTGTGTTGTGCCATGTTCTCTGGTCTGCAGTTCACAGGCTACAATGGATAGTATACAAGTAATAAACAACAAATGAGAGCAGATTATGAAGCCAGTGAAAGGATATTTCTAGGAAAGAATATTGTTATGCTAGCAATGTACCAGTATGGTCAGTAGCATAAAATCATTGGCCAAAAAATAGTATAGTCTGAGAAGACTACATAATCTGAATGGAACTTATTTGCCAAATAATTACTTTTTTATACATATTACAGTTTATATAAAATATATATATATATTATATTACATATTTGTTGATAGGTTATTGGTTTTACATGAATTTGATTGGCATAATCTAAAAACATTGGTGTATGAATGTTTCCTGAATTCTTCCAAGTATTTTTTCATATCTAGATAACAGATATTTCTGCTTGTTCATAAAGCCAGTGCAAAATATAAATGCACTCTTTCAGACTTATTTTTCACTGTGAATCCTTAAGAAATTTGTTGCCTTAGGCATCTAAGTTACCTAGCTACTTCTAGTTTTCTCTCCATAGAGGTAATTTCAGGATTGGTCCTAAAAAACTGACTTTTTATTTGGGGGAAATAGGATATGGAAGTACCTTATGTTATGCTGACATAAGAGTTCTTTGGCAGTTGAACAGGCTGATCTTGCCTATGACCTTTGGGTTTGGTTTTTTTCCTTGAAGAAGTCTACCATGTTTTCTGTCATTTCTTCTTGAATGGATTTTTTATCAGTAGTATGATGCACATACATAGAAATTTTTACAGTTGCCACTCATGACCATCTTCCACTCAAAGTCTTTTTGGGCTCAGTCTTCCTTACAGCTAAAATCTCTGGAACTTAATAATGATGTTCAGAACATCACTGCAACAAACCAGCAGCTTTTAAATTATGTTCAAAGGATAATCAGTGGAGTGCTGGCCCCCAATTCCTGCAAAAAACCCTACTGATTGAATCAGTTGCACAAATCCTATGATGTTGGATGCTTTCCCTATCTTCCAGTCAAAAATCCCAGGGGAATATTAAAAAAACAAATTTTATGGTATTTATTTTATGGTATTTATGGTATTAAAAAAACAAATTTTTATTTTATTAAAAAAATATTTATGGTAATTATGGTAGTGTAGTTGATACACTTGACGGAAGGATGCTGTCCAGAAGGACCAATACAGATTTGAGAAGTGGGCCTGAACCTGATAAAATTCAACAAGACCAAGTACAAGGTCCTGCATGTGGGTAATCACCAGTGTCAGCACAGACTGGGGAGTGAGGGGATTGGGAGCAGCCCTGCAGAGAAGGACTTGGGGATATCGGAAGGTGGAAGGCTGGACAAGTTCCAGCAATGTGCACTCGCAGCCCAGAAGGCCAAATGTATCCTGGGCTACATCAAAAGCAGCATGTCCAGCAGGTCAAGGGTGGTGATTCTGCCCTTCTACTCTGCCCTTATGAGACCCCACCTGGAGTGCTGCATCCGTCTCTGGCATCCTCAGCACAAGAAAGGCATGTTGAAGCAGGTCCAGAGGAAGGCCACAAAAATCGTCAGAGGACTGGAGTGCCTCTCCTGTGAAGTTAGGCTGGGAAAATGGGGTTGTTCAGCATGTTGAAGAGAAGACCCTGGGGACACCTCATTGCAGCCATTCCATATATGTAAAGAGGGCTTATAAGACAGAGAGAGGCCTTTTACAAGTCTTAAACTGAAAGAGGTTGGACATACAGAACACATTGTTTTCAATGAGAGTGGTGGAACACTGGAACACATTTCCCAAAGAAGTTGTAGATACCCCATCACTGGAAATGTTCAAGGTCAAGTTGGACACGTCTTTGCACAATTCAATCCAGTGAAAGATGTCCCTGCCCAAGGCAGGGTGTTTAGACTAGAGGATCTCCAAAGGTCTCTTCCAACTCAAACCATTCAATGACTGTGTAAGTCTAAAACTGGCTACTGAAACTTGTAGTAAAGTAGTGAACATCACAAGCTAGTACTTGTTTGGTTGTCTCAGCAGGGAAAGAGCCACAGCTCTGGATCTGGGCATCACACACGGTTATACCTGGCACTCTCGGTCTTCAGAAAGGGCAGCACATTTGGGAGCATGCTGCTCTGAAACAAAACCCATCCAGACTGCCTCCCTGATATACTCCACTTCTAATTCATTATATGGTATAGTTACAAGAACCTTTTTGTAAACAGTAACAGCTTCTTCTGACTTACTAATTAGTACAGTGAGGCAGGTATAGCATAAATAGCCAGAAGGACACTAAAACTCTTTCCCTGCTTGTCTATATGCTCTATTCTCTCTGTGCAGTAGGGGAAAGCGGAGTCCCATGCTGCCCTTCCTTTGTGCTGAACTAAATTAGATAGGAAGGAAAGTTACTGCTCTCCTTTTATACTCTTCCTCTACTTTGCCTTGCAAGTTTCTGCCGTCCTGCAACATCTTCTGCCAATCTGTTTCTCCCACCCACTAATAAACATGAGAATGAGAGTGATGGCTGCTCTTGTAAAGTAGTTTGAGAGCAACAGAAAAAGTTCCTCATTTTCTTCATTCTCTAGAACTACTTTAGTGTAATTCTGCAACTCTGTGAATTAGAATGATTCAGAATTTCACTAGTACAAGCAACAAGAGGATCAGGTATAAAAGGCACTGAGTGGCTTAAAAATAATGCCTTTCCATAATAGTTCTGACCAAGATATTGCCTGAAGGTGCTTGACATTGTAACTGCCAGAATTCCACAGTTATATGATGCTTTAAATAGTGGTTAGAATGTAAGAGCCTTTAAAATGGGGTAGCATGGACATGTCCTCTCTTGCCATACACACCAAAGTGATCATTCCTGTTTGCTCCCCACAGGGGTCGTGGGGGTGCAATTCCTCCACCCCTGCCTGGACGAGGTGCCCAAGCACCCAGAGGAGCGCCGGTGACCCGTGGAGCCCTCCCTGTGCCACCAGTGGCAAGGGGCGTTCCCACCCCTCGAGCCAGGGGCGCCCCGTCTGTCCCGGGTTACAGACCACCCCCGCCACCTGCACACGAGGCCTACGAGGACTATGTAAGTAACTGCTTTCATTCAGAACGTGTGTGAGCCAAGCTCTGTGATGAACATCAAGTACTACTGAGATTAAATACCTCAGGCCAATAATTCCTCTGTCTCTAGTGCTTACCCCTTGCAGTTGAACAACAGTCTGGGCAATGCAATATGTCTGCAATCTTGTGCTTGGTGATGTGGGTTTGTAGATTTGTTTACAGCTTAGTTTTGGATGCAAGAGATCATGCTGAGTAGTTCTCAGGGTGTTACAAAAGAGCAATACAGATATTATAAAATTTATATTTTGTACTAAAAGTCAGTTGTTACTGTAGGCAAGTTCCTAGGAATAACAAATTATTCCTTTGTGCGAAAATGGGGGTGGGATGTTCTTCCGAATCTTCTTTATTTGTATTCAGCATTGTTTTACAGATACACAACAAATAGAAATTCAGGTAGCTTTCATGAAAGCTGATACAATGGTGCCTCTTTAGCAAGGAGCAGTACTAACTGTCACCTTATCAAAGCTTTCAAGTCATCCTCATTAATGTTTCTATCTGGAACTATCACCATAACAACAGATATCCAAATAGAGGAGAAAGTACTATCAAATAGCATGTCTGAATTTTTCCAGCTATGTCAAGTCCAAGAGTAAGATGAACATCCCATCTATCCTGTCTCTAGGAGAAGACGCAGTTTTATTCAATTAATGGTTCTCCTAGTACAGAAAAAAGGGAAATGAAACAGAAATTAATCTTTGTTATTAAAGCTTTACTCAACCATATGTATTTGTAGCATAGAGATTAGATCACGGCCGTTTCAAAACAGGGATACACATTCTGTTGATGCCAAGAGTCACAACTCAGCAAGAGCAGCAAAAAAGGAGGCGGAAAAAGTCACTCTGGTATTATTTACCTCAACACAGTTTCCATCATTAAATGAGATAAAAGTCCTGCTAAGAAAAAGACTTTCAAAAGTATACCCTTACTTGATAGACAGTATATTATTATCTGTTAGTATTGAAATGTATGAGACCTTCCTTTCTGTGCAGATACACATATTTTCCTAATCCATGAGTGAAAAATGTCAAAACAGAACCCTTGTAATGTAAGATTAAGCTTATAAATGGAGTAATTTTTTTTCGTTTACAGTATTAGTAGATGTCCTAGAGTATTAAGCAGTTTTTAGGGAACATTTCTTACACTTTTCCTGGATGATAAATATATGGAAAACAAGAGGAAAAATTAAGGCAGGATTGTCAAGGTTCTGAAGGCATTCAGCCGGTTCGATATTGTTTTGAAATGCTAATGCTCTTAGAATTACAAAATATTCACAGAATTAAAAGAGTCATTTTAGTTTATAATACATTAATCAAATAAAACCAAACAAATGTGTTTGATTTTCTATTTCCCCTTCTTAGATAGCCGCAAAACACATACTGCCTTATAGGACAAATTCACATGTTTTTGAGATCCTTTCATCTCCTGTGTCCTTTTAACATCTATATTCGATGTCTAGGAATATATGGGATTGCTATCGTGCACCAGTTTGCAATGAAAATCTCTTTTCATTTTATAAAAGGTTTTAAATGCAATCTAAATCATTTTGGTATCTTATGGACTGAGATAATTAAAACTCCGATGCTGTGCAGGTACAAGGAAAAGTTCATGGTCATATATCTATATATGATTTGTAAATTATCTTTTAAGAGAAAATGGTTTTATTTTGACAGGAAGTAATCAGCACAGTTTTTCTTCCCAAATAAATCATATAATAAATCATATGTCTGACTGGATACTAAAAGCAAGTGAATCTATTTGTTGACCAGCAAGAAATGTCGTGTGTAACTATTGTTCTTTCACACTTAATCCTACAGATGAAAAACTAATTTGTAATGAATGATTTATCCAATTTACTTTGTGTTCTGCTTCTAGGCAACCCACAAGTGTATTACAATATCTTTATGTGTTTGTTTTTTTTAATTTTTGGCTACAGTCTTTCACACCATTTTTTGCTTAATATATGCGAGTTTGATTAGTTGTACACATGAATGCTATGTCATTGATTGTGAGTATCCATATTCTTAATTTTTCTTTGCTCTAATGAAATATAGTCATTTAAATGTGGAGCTGAAAGTGAACTCAATAAATAGAATGGCTACAGCAGATTTTTTAAAATGCTTGAACAGCTCTTCCTGAAAAGAAATCTTTATCTACTTGCTGAGCACTACTAATCAGATATTGTATTGGCTGTTTGAACTTGAAACATCTAACTGTTCAAATCGGTTTGGATAACCATTAAAAGTTTAGATTATCCAATATATAAATATTTTGAGGTTTCCTGAGGCCTTTCTGAGAGTCCATAAAAGCAAATGTCTAACGAAAAGTAAAGTCCTGTCATTGTGGTGAATATATTCATGTTCAACATTTTGAATGTCAGGCCAAAGTGGAGGGAAAATTATTTGGAACAAGTTTCAGAAAAGAAGAGGGCTTGAGAGGGAAGGGGAAGTGACACACTTTTTCTTTACTTGCTTTTGAAACTTGCTTTTCATTGTGTGTAGCCTAGATAGTATCTTAGAGGAACTTCAAAAGATTACCCACAGAAAGAGAAGGTACTGACATTAGAAGATTTATGCAAAAGGGAAAACCCAGTTACTATGTGAACCTTCATCATTCTACAGTTCATTGATGTGAATTTGGATGGAGAGTGTAACTGACAGCAACTATGCACCTTCTTGGATCAAAAGGGGTGGTCCTGGGTTTGTGACCTGGTGTTGTGCTTTAACCCCAGCTAAAAAATAAGCTCCACACAGTTGCTTACTCCCCCTTGTGGGATTAGGGAGAGAATCAGAAGTGTAAAAGTGAGAAAACTCATGGACTGAGACAAGACAGTTGTAGTGGGTTAACCTTGACTGGATGTCAGGAACCCACCAAAGCTACTCTTATCACTCTCCTACACAAGTGGACAGGGGAGAGAAAATATAACTTAAGGTTCATGAGTTAAGGGCTGGGAAAGGTCACTCACTGTTTACTGTCATGGGCAAAATAGACTCAGCTTGGGGATATTACTTGAATTTATCACCAACAAAGTCAGAGGAGGATAATGAGAAGTAAAATAAGTCTTAAAAAACACCTTCCCCCCACCACTCCCTCTGTCCCAAGCTCTATCTCCTCCCCCCACCACAGTGGTGCAGGGAGACAGGGAATGGTGCTTATAGTCATCAGTTCATCACATGTTGTTCCTACCACTGCTCAGGAAGAAGAGTCCTTCCCCTGCTCCAGCATGGGATCCCTATCAGAGGAGACAGTCCTCCACAAACTTCTTTGTGGATGACAATGCACTGGAACGGATTGCCCAGAAATACTGTGGAGTCTCCCTCACTGGAGATATTCAAGAACCAGCTGGACACAGTCTTGTGCCATGTGTTCTTGGATGACCCCACTTGAGCAGGGAGGTTGGCCCAGATGATCCATTTAGTCCCTTTCAGCCTGACCCATTTTATGATTATGTGATTCTGTGATTTGGTTGGACATCTGCTCAAATATAGTAAGGAAAGTTAACACTGGTATTATCGTTACAGATTGGGAAGAGACTTCAGCAGTCTTCTCTTGAGAAGAATAAGCATTTTTAAAGGCTAAGGTCTTGGCAACTTTCAAAACAGGCAATAGGCATGACAGGTTGAGATTCATGATTAATACAGAAGTGGAGAGTACTTGAGTAGGTTTTCTGCTATTGAGGCAATACGTAATGGAATCATAGAATCCTAGAATGGTTTGGATTGGAAGGGACCTACCAGATAATCTAGTTGCAACCCTGCTGCCGTGGTCCAGGACACCTTTTCACTAGACCAGGTTGCTCGAAGCCCCATCCAGCCTGGCTTTGAACTTGTAGGGATGGGGCAACTTTTCTGGGCAAAGCCAGCGTTCCATACAGTATATTTTAATCAGAGTGTCCAGATTTTTCCATTCGGCATTAAAGCTAAATATTTGAAGGGTGCTTAACCTAGATCTAAGCCAAAAATACTGTTGATTTCAGATCCTTTTTTGGACCGCATTTGACTCTGGATCTGTATTTGTTCCTTCTGAATCAGAAGCTACTAATGAGTTTTGCAGTGTTACTGGTTTTTTACATTTTTTTAAGAGCTGTGGTGAGCCTTCCTAAGGAGTCTAATGTGGGTCTTGAAGTGACTTATCACTTGTTCCCTTAGACCAGATGCAAAAACAGTTACCAAAACAGAACACATTTGTGACTAAAATGCACATTGTTTTTTTATTTTACCTCCACTTGCATTTTTACTCCTGGATAAGAAAGGAAACTTTTGCACAGAAAACCACTAATTTTAATATGAATGCTCAGATGAGCTTCTTGCATTTACAAAGAAATATATAATTTGTTTGCAAGAAATAAACCAGTCTATCAAGACCCTGTGAAGCTGATACAGCTCTTGGGTCTAGGACAGCCAGAATAAAGAGCAATTTTAAATGCAAATATTCTCTCTCGCCTCTCATTTCACTGATCAAACCAGCCAAACACAGCTTCTTGTTATCTTCTGGAATAAGAGCAATGTTTTTAAAAAGTCACTGGGAAAGAACCACACAATAAGATAGATTGTGCTTTTAATGTCATGCTGTTCTTCCTCTCACTTCAAGCTGTTTAAAACAAAAGCAAATGTCACATTCAACTATTTATTCTAAGATCAATGGTTATTTACATTTTTCAATAGTTTTCAAATAAACTGAAACAACTATGCTCATGCTTATTTAGTGCCAACCTAGACAATTAAAAGACTGACAATAGGAGGCGTTTTGTCACACTTTAAGATTTTTAAAATATATAATCAACATTTATATGTGACTGTGATCCCCAAAATTGCAGTTGTGGAGGCTTTATTTTATATTTTAAATGGGAATTCTTGGGCTATTAGATCCGTTCTGCCACTTCTAAATGTAGATGGAAACTGTGTATACAGACCTGCACTTCCTCTTCATGGCATATTTGTGCCTGTGTTACTGCTTTAATAAGTATGT